TTGTGATTTCCTTGTCTGAAGTCAAACACCTCAACTGAGCTGTTGTCCCTGAAGTTCAAAACCTTAGATGAGCACACGACTGCTAAAAATTTATTCCTTGTTCTACTGTAATGACGGGAAATCCTGAGTTCCAGAGCTGAATTTTGTCACTGTGTAGCATCAACTCCTGTATTCAAACAGTAAGTTCTGCGCTGGGGAGTCAGTCCAGCAATGTTTGCGTGCAGGAGTATTTGTTTCAGTGTATCAGATGTCCAGCTTAACTGTAGAGAGCAAAAGACTGAAGAATGACTGTTTTTTCTTTTATTTGGCTCTGCTGACACAATTTATTCCTTTTCAGTACACGCATGATTAGCTTTGCATTGTTCCCAACATGAAGAGAATAGTTTTACAGCAATATTCAGATCTACATACAGACCAGAGCAAAGGGCTTGTTCTGGTTTTCTCACATGTAATTCATCTGATGACTGAATCCTACAGCATAAGCAGTAGGGGATGTTTGTTGTTCTGGTTTTTTTCAATAGCCTTCGTGAACAGCATAATCTGGAATCTTGTCCTGCAGCTGTTTTGTAGATAATCTGCGGACTTTGGTTCAACTGTTGGCAAGCAGAACCGCACCAGGAATTAGAAACAAATCTGTAAGTATTTCTGCTTGCTTGGTTTGTTCTCAGTGTTTTCAACAACATCCTGGGGGCAACAGAATGCTGCAGGGGCACTTAGAGCGATGCCCTGGCTGGTGTAAAAAGTGGTTTAGGGTTTTGACACTTGCAGTGAAAACTCAGAGCCCAGTTTGCAGTCCCTTGCTCATCGGAGTGACCTTTGTATCAAGGTCTGAACAAAGGCAGTTGGAGTGCAGTACGATGGAACTGCACATCATCTTTCCTGCCTTTGTCAAGAGTGGTAGTGACAGGGGTCCTGAGTAGGAAATGCCACCGCTCTGCTGCTGATGGACCGAAGAGTAACGCTTAGCTACCAAATGCATTGGGCATTGTGCCGAATTTTTGAAAGCGTCAGGTTCTGTTAAGGGATCTGATGCAAATTCTAAGAAAACTGAAATGTTTCAGGCTCTTCTGCTTACTGGGTGGGAGTTTAAAGTCTTGGAACAATTTTTTTGATGCTAGGAGTGTGAGAAATGAGGCAAATGCACAATTGACTTGAGGTGTTAACAGATCTGACTCCTTAGTGTGCTGACTATTTTCCCCCTTCTCTTCTTGTACCATTTCTCTCCTTCCTTTTCTTCCTTCTCTCAATCACACTTTGCATTATTTTTTGCTTTCTCATGATACATACGTGCATTTTACAGTCCCTTCAAAACCAGCAGTGTTAGTGATGTGTAAGAATTCAAGTACTGCCTGTCACAGGTGGCTGAGGCCCCTTTGCCTGGTGCGGACAGGGCCAGGGGAAAAAATCATACAAGTTCCAACTTGCCAGACCAGTCTGAAGGGTCTGGCAGAACTTGGTTGGTTTTTGTACCTATGAAATAGCCAGGTAAACATTTCACAATAACCAGAATAACCCAAAATCTAGCCAAGTGCCTGTTACCTCCGGAAGGCCAATCTTTCAGTGCTCCTAGTTCCTGTGAGTGACAAGTTTGCCCGCAGCAGGAGCTCGCGTGAAGGAGGAAACTGCCCAAAGGATCAGTTTTTGAATTGTGGCTTTTTCCTACCTTAGACTCTAGTTCTGCATTTTCACTCCAGAAATGTCTCCTGGCTCCCGGCACATTGCTGCTATTGGCAGTCAGCCTGCGCTGCTGCATCCTCCTAATGAAACCTGGGACACCTTGGAGACTCACCAGCACTAGCTGCTGGGGCTGAATTTCCTCTTGAAGATACTGAAGGATTATCTGCCATGTGCAAGGGTCATCGAATGTTACTGGGCCTGTTCCAGTGCCGTGTTTTTCCCTTATTGCTTGTTTCCTGCAGATGCCAGCTTTCCTGTGCTCTCCCTCTCCCTGGCCTGCGAGGAGGCAGCAGCAAACACAAGTACCGATCCAGGGACCGAGAGGGACCTGCTGGTTCTTGAAAGCGAGGCAGAACACCAGCCAACTCTCTCCTCTGAGCAGTTCCATCTTCTGGTACCATGGGGAAGTTACAGATGTTTAATGTTTCGATTTTGGAAAATACCACGAAGTAACCCAGTTGTTGTAATGGGTAGGTATCAAAAAGGAGAAAAAGTTTTTCAGCGTTACAAGTGGAGCTCAGCTAGCCTACGTACGTAATGTGGTTTCACTTCCAGATTTCACAGTTGCAGCCTTACTAGTCTAAGTGGCTGAGACACGCCGTGCCAGCCTGCAAGCCTGCATGACTCAGTGGTTTGAGCTTTCGAGGTTTTTTCCCCAAATTTTCCAGAGCTGGCAAATTGTAGGATGCTTCTGAGTCTGTGTACATAGTCTTCAGTGTTTTTCCAAGGTTTAATACTTACATTTTCTTCCTGAAAATGAATTAAGTGAATTCATCTTCTAATTGATTTTTCTGCCCTTTACGATGCCACATCCTTGCAGACAGTCAAACTTGAGGTGTAAGCTTTCCCTCATTTACTAAATTAGTTTTGCTAAGACATGAGGTTTACAGCCTCCACTGTTGGTGAGATTTTTCTCCTCATTCCTGTATCATGAAGTTTAGTTATGAATCACTGACATTTTTATTACCATTTTTGTAGTCCAGAAGAGCACAGGCATCACCTTCAATCCATAAGCAAGAGTGAATTACGCTTTACGTTTTAATTAGACTTATCAAGAACAGCAACTGTTCAAGGACCCACCCAAAGTATTTAAGGTCAAGTTTTACAGGGCGAGTACTGTCCTTCATTCTGGTTTGCAATGATCTAACATCATTCATTGCCACATTCCTTGGTTTGCTTCCACTTTTAATTATCCAAAGGCCCTTAGCTATCCTTGGCTTAGCTAAAATGCCAACTTAACAAAAAATGAAATGTATTTACATATTGCAGGACATTACAGCTGGTGATCACTGTGTCAACGAGGTCATGGTGTGTTTTGTGGCTTAAGCAGGTGAACGCTTTGCTCCAGGCCTTGATTGCTGATTCTCAACTCCAAGCCTGTATCTTGTTCTTGAGGCACAAGAGCCTTTACAGTGAATTAGCCTGGGATGTGATGACCCACTAAAATGGTAATAGTCCTGTATTGCCACCTGGGTCACTTCCCTGTTTTGGTGGCATGAGCAGGAACAAGTAGCCAGAATTCAGAGGTGTTAGAGCAAGACCAGGTGGGATAGTTTGGGATGAGAGGAAGATGGAAGGGAACTGTACGTTGCCGAAAAGCAGCTACTTGCAAAGGCCATTTTCATGAATCTTTGGTAGTTCAGGCTTCTACAAACTTGCGTGTTAGTGGAACAGTCCTTTTGCCAATTCCCACGGACCTGTGTTTTCACATGCAGAGTTGGTGACAAACCTCGGGGCAGTTCCTGAGATTTGTCTTCTCATCTCACGACATTTGAACCATTGATAGGTTTTGAGATTTGCGGCTCAGCATCGTTTTAGCCTTGTATGGCCTCTGAGGCTAAACCTGCCTGTTGGCTTTACCAGCAGCAGTGGGTCAGATGCTCAGATACTGCAGTGATGAAAACCAGTAGTAATTCCACTGGAAACAACACAGGAAAAGCTAAAGGGCAGATGTTTACAAGCTGAGCACCACCCTTCCCCCTGCAGCAGGTACCACAGCAAGAGACAACCGACTCACAGGAGCACGCTACCTGAAAGCGACTGCCTAGTTTTAGCAGTGTATTGGAAGTTTGGTGAGTCCCAGCTACAACCTACAGCCGAACGCAGGGGAGGCAGGTAGCTAGTTGTGCAAGCATAGGGGACACAGCTTTTATCAGCCTGGGCAGACTTGTTTTGCCAAGACAGACACCAGTAAGGGGAAAGACATCAACTGAAACCACTGACAAACAACTGAAAAGGGAACTTTATTAGGTGAAGGGGGGGATTTAGTGAAACAGTTTTCAAATGCTGTTTGTTTCATAGGGACTAACGATGCAGGGAAAGCAGCTTGTTAAATGATTCAACCCCCCCTGTGCATTCAAGGAAGGTATGGATAAAATATTTTTCCCCCCATCCAAGTTATTTCCTACAAAACAGGGAAAGCTAGACTATTTCTAGAGGGAAAAATGTGGGAAAAACATTATTAGAGATTCAGGTCTTTGTATGCCACAGAGGAACATACCAGAACAATTGTGGTAAAGGTCTACAAGTCACTTGTGTTTCTTTTTATAAATTTAGGTACAGAGACCCGACGCACCATGTGAACTATTCTGTCCCCTCACCATCCAAAAACAGATGATAATGTTGAAAAGCTCCCTCCCATCCAGAGCCGGCTGTCCCCAACTTCAGTATTTCCTGCATCACTGATGACTACAAACAGAAGGAACAGATGCTCAAAGTACACGCCACCTACGTAGGCAGTCCCATTTTACCAGGTGCTAAACTTACCCTCATTAGCCACATTAAATGTGCAAGGAAAATGCTTCCAAATCAATTACCATCTTGAATTTAACACCGCTGATTGTTGAGAGAAAGCCTATTGGCTGACAATTAACATCTGCAGAAGGTAGTAAGTACACTGCCCATGTCACTTAGTAGAACACTGGACACTAATGGTAACTGAACAAGACCATTTCTGAATTTATTTCCAGAACTGGTCTTGTCATGACAGTAATTACAACAAGGTTGAATCAGCTAACGGTATTTGTTTTCAGGTTCCGTGTTTGGATCTAAATAGTCTTAAAAATCAGATTAAACTCCCATCTTTTTTAACAAAATAATTCTTAATCCTTTAAAAACCACCTATAAAAGGTATAGGGTAACTCAAATTTCAAAATCCTGTCTTAAATACGTTTGTTTTTCCAATTAGCATATAAAACATGGAAAGATAAGTCATGCAGGTATGCTGAGCAGTGTGGTAATAATATTCAGTAGAACCACCAAACACAGCAACTCTTCCGTAATCGTTCTGACCTCCCCTTTAGTAGCATACGAGCCAGGGTGGAACCTCAGTTCCCCAGCAGCAAATGCCATTTCTTGTTTGAAACCCCTGAAAAGCACCGTGGAAGAGCTGATCTATCTCCACTTCAAGTCACATACTAGTGCTATGTGATCAGAAGGATGGGAAACACTTGGCAAAGCCTGGTGGGTTGTCACTTCTTCGTGACTTGGCAATGGGATGACCTGTTCAACCTCCAGGGTGTTTTTATCGATGAAAATGTAGTCCAGGCATCCGTGAAACCCACCAACGTAGTTTGTATAAGCAGGTTCTCCGCAAGCACTCAGCAGTTGGAAAGGATGGCTTAGAGGCATGTTGCACCTTTCCTCTTCTCCGTTAGAGGCCCAGTCTTCATGATCCTCAGCGATGCCACCCCTGTTAATAAAGCTGTAAGTTCCAGACGACGGCGTACTATTAAAGTCTCCACAGAATATGACTGGTATGCTCGGATACAGATCACATGCTACGTGCTTGATGTGAGACAAGGCTACAGCGATTTGGACGAGACGGATGTTCCCACCTAGGAGTATAAAAGCGTATGACTTCAAATACTTCACAGTAGCATTGGAGAACTCTCCCAAGTTGCTCATTTAAGCACATATCACACATAGCTCTGAACTGGTCATCTCATTTTACTGTGCTCTAGATTTTAGAAGACATTTCATAAATGAAGAAGCCTTCGAAGTTTGTGACTATGAAGGTTTTAGAGAGGCAGACAAGGTTTCAGTTCAAGCTTGCACATCAAAGTGCAAGAACTCTGAACCTTAAACACCCATCTTACAGCAGGTTCCCATTTCGTGCCAACCATCCTAACAGTGTTCCTGAAAAGCACAGTACCAAAAGAAAACTAATTGAAAAGAGGAAAATGTCTTCTAAAAGCTTCTGTAGCTCAATTTGGTTGCACTTCTGGCAATACCTCCATGTAACTCCTTCAGGGTACTATAGGGCTGGGAAGCTTCAAAGAGCTGTATTTTATGGTCTACTCCCTGGGCAAATCGTGCATAACATGACTTGCCTTGCTTTCAGCTGTTTCCTACTGACTCCCAGGCAGACCAGAACAGTACGAGGAAAATAAATAAACAGGCCCAGTAGCCTGGTTTGATCCATCTAGATGATAAGCAAGGCAGGAAACCCTCAGTTCCAGAAGAAAAGGTTATAGCTGCAGAAGAATGGGGAGAAATCGATTCTCCCTAGGCAGGGGAGAAACCTGTACACACCCAGTTATCCTGCACACAGGAACATGACAAAATTACCTTTTGGGTGCCAGTATAGGTGGGTATTGCCTACACAAATCTTCCTGGAAGGATCAGTTGTAGACTGAAGAACTAAAACCTTCAAGAGAGAAAAGAAATCTTTGATGAGTTTTAAATAGACAGGTTATATATATTTTACAAATGCAATGGTTAGCTTACGCCTTTATGGTCCAGTTCAAAGAATCTGATGCTTATAACTAATGAACAGCACAGCTCCTACGGAGTCTATTTACCTCCTATATAATGCCTGGGTATCAGCCCATCTATTAACAATACATCCAGGTATCTGACAAACGTTTTTTTGGCCGTAAGCGTCTGATATGGACGTATTTTTTCCTCCAACTGATTCCATATTTTTTCCCCTAATATGTTGCTATTGCTGTACCATTCTTAACTACTTTTATTTTCTATTCTCCCACCCCTGCAACAGAATTGGAGTTATGTCTCTGGTTTTAGCAAGCAAACTGTAGCATTGCATAGTTCTTAAACTGAACGTAAATTTGGAGGGGACTTCAGTTACCAGGGAAAGCTTGTCAGACCTACTCAGTCCACGAGTAAGAAACTTTTACCCATGAGTGTTTCTGAAATTCCTCACACAGACCTAGATCTTACACGTTTGTACTTGTATGACGGCTCTGCTGGCAGATCCACTGACAGCAACAAGCTCACAAACCTGTCCAACCTTCTTTCTCTCACTACTGTCACTTTGTAAAGTGGAATTATTAAAGCCAGACAAATTAACTTAAATCTCATTTGGAACTGACTTACAAGATTTAAGTTTTATCATATAAACTTAATAAATATATATTCTGACATATGACAGCAAGCAGTGAGAAACGTGGCAGCCAATACCTCCATGGGTACCTGGCCCAGAATCTCAACTGCTGGATTGATCTTACAACAAAGAAAATGATTTTGTCTTTTTTTACCAAATTTTGGTAATTTCACCTATCTGGTGCAGTAAAGTCTCCATATTTTGTTCTTGTTCCTAAGCTGCTCTCCTGCTCTATTCATTACCCTAGCTAACAGAGGACATATCACGGTTCTGTTTCAGACTGTTAGTCCTTCACATCTCCTGTGGCTTGACGCTCAACAAACCTAGCTTGGCAGCACCTGCCTGGTGACAGCAGGAAGAGGGGAAAGCGGAAGAATGCACGTAAAAAGCTGGTACCTGCAGCACAGATGACCTCTGCAGCACCTTCTCCTGCACCAAGGGGTACTTGGCCAGCTTATCACTCAACTCCTTGTGCAGTGGGTCAGAGAGCAGGGCTTCGCTGAAAGCTATGTCATGTTGGCTAAGGAGGCTGAACTTGTCCCTGCGGTAGAAAGTGGCCAGGCCTTCGTGCTGCTTCTCCTTGATCTTGAAGAGCCCTTCCAGTCCAAAAGCTTCTAGTGCTGGAGTCAAGCTGTCCACAAAGACGGACTTGTCCACTTCTTGCAAGCAGACGAGGTCCGCGTTGTAGCCCACCAGCTCCTTCTTGAGCAGGTTCTGCCGGTAGTCGAGCTCCAGGGCGTACGGGGCGCAGTAGGGATAGAGCACGGTGCGGGAGAACTCCGTCTGGGCGTAGGTGTCGGCCAGGATGTTGTAGGAAACGGCGCGGAGGGCGCCTTCGCCGCAGACTTTCTTGGTGTAGAGGTGCCGGGGGT